TGATTTCCTAGATTCTCTGCTTCACTGAGCTTCACCAGTAAATTATTTTGCGTGTTCATTATTCTTTCCTGTGTTTCCTATTTATCTTCAGTTTTTAATTAGATTGTGTCCCTAAGAGCATTGTACCAGAGATTTATTCATCAGTTATGAAAATTTTATCCCTCTTGACTTTATTAGGACTCTTACAAATTTCAAAACAATCTTAAAAAAATATCCACTTATATTTTCTAATAATTTCTTATATTGTTTCATTAAATCTGAATGTCATTTGTGTTTCTCTTATACTAGCCTACTTGATGACTGAAGAAAAGCAATCAGACATGATGATTGCCCCCATTCCCGTTATTTTCTGCATTTACAGATTGTATTTTGTTTTGTCGTTCAACTTTTAATGTTGATATTGAAAAACTATCTAGTAATTAAAGTAAAAACATGCTATTCTCTACTTTTTTTTGATAAAGTGACTATTTCATGTAATTATGGTCACATGGTTTTTCTTGGTGTTTATTCTCACTGTACTATTCAACTTAAATTGTATTCCATGACATATCTTAATATCTATGTCTCTTCTCACAACCGAATACCTCACTCTTTTGTCTTAATAAAAAATATCAATTCTATCTCATGGTATATTTCTGAAGTCCTCCCATCAGTGCTATCAGGTATATATCATTCTTTCTATTTTCAACAAAGTGGATTGATGATTTAAATTTTAATACAGCAAATGTACTAGATTTGCTTATTTCGAAGGTTCTGAGTGAGGCTGAGGGTTTAGAAGGGCCCCAAAGAGTCATATTTTTAGTGAATCTTTAAATCCATTTATTTAGTTACTCTTATATGTTTCTGATACAGGGATTCTGGAACCTCTCTTTTAAATAAGCATCTAATTGAGCTTCTGAAAAAGTTTCTTATCCTCTCTTATGTATCTGAACTTTGGTTTGTAAATTCCCGACTACTATCTGATCCTGGTTTGCTATTGGCAGGTTCTCATATTTTGAAGAAATCCATTGTACCTTGTCAGGATACTTGCCTAATCTGACTCGTTTCATCAGGTAGAAAGAAAGTATTTATTTGACTAAAAAAAAAAATGACTAAACATACAGTGCTTTTCAAGGAGGAAAAAAAACAACTACGTTCTATGTGAGTATTTATTAATTGATTTGAAAGTCAAACAGTCTAATTTGCCACAGATCTTTGCTAAGATAATTTTCATTGCCTCAGCTGCCCAGAAAGACTAGTCAAGTCATTTACCTGGAACTCACTCTTGGGATATATCTAGCTGTCTATCACAAGATTCATGAATATTCTCTTGGATGCCTGGGATATCACTTGGATGTCTAAGGGCATGCTTTAAAAATACACATCTGTGCCAATGTTTTAGAATCCCCAGTGTGAGAAGGCTGCTTTTATACCCACTCTAGTCACCTCCTCTGTGCTCCCCCCACCCCCCACACTGCCTGCAACTGTACTGGTTTTCTTTGTATTCTTAGCAAAGTCTTATACTACTGAACAGGCACATACCACCACTGTCCTACAACCAAGATGGATGGAAAAGACCCAGGAAGTCTTAGTTTCAGAGACTTACATCTGACACATTAACTAAGTTTTCAAAAGTAGTATGATTTACATCCCTAAACCAAGGGCACAGTGATTCATTGTTACCGAAAGTGATTTTCCAGAATCATCCAGTATTTGCATAGTCATTTTGATTTGAGCAGTTCTACTGTGCTGGGTTTAATCTAAGATATACTGCTATTACCAGATCATTACCTGTTTCTGATTATGAAAAAGGGAAAAATAAAGTGTTTTCCAAATACATTGGGTCATGAACCATGTGTTTGTGTTTAGCGTAGGCATAGAAGAACGGTGCCTGCATATTTTAGAGGCTGGGAAGAACCTGGTGCTAGCGTCTCTTCTTGAACTCATTTTTAAAGGTTGCCTGTGAATATCTAGTTCACCTACTTTTCTCAGGAGTCTTGGAACTTTATGAACCAAGTCATAGTAGCCGTTGCTGTATAAGCTGCCTTATAAGCATCATATGTGCAGAAATTTAAAATCTATATTTATCTGGGCCCTAATGGTATTAAGTGGGAACTTTAAAATAAGATGGAAAAAGAAAAGATGAAAAATGGGCCCCTAATTAATTTCAGCGTGAAATTTCCAAATTGGTAACATATGTTATCCAGTTTATGTATTAGTTTAAAATAATCAAACCATTGATTCACGCCAATACTGGTTGTCCAGGTCCTTGTTGAAGTAATTTAAATACATCTGTGAATTTAAAGTTATTGCCAATTATAGATAAGTACTATTGAAGGTGGAAAAGATTAGCTTTAAATCATTAAATCTGATAATAAACCTGAAAATAAGATCTGAATTAATTATGTGCTATTATCAAGAACACTTATTGATCTTTATACAGATAACAAAATATTTATATAATTCTGACAGTGGATAATATGAGTACCTTTCAACTTATATAATGAAGTAACCCTTTTCCCTGACATGGATTTTGTCACCCTAGACAAATTCTCCACTCGTGCCATAAGAATTCATGAGTGAGAAAAACTTCAAACATTTGAATATCAAATGTAATCCATAAAAAGCAGAAAAAGGACTCTTTCATCCATTTCTGCTAAGCTCTCAGCCTTATTTTATTTTTTATTGGTTTTTAGAGAGAGAGGAAGGGAGAGGGAGAGAAACATCGATGTGAGAACAGAACATTGATTTGCTGCCTCCTATACTTCTCCTCCGCACACACACTGAGGATTGAGGCCTCAACCCAGGCAAGTGCCCTGACCAGGAATTGAACCAGCAACGTTTTGATGCCATGGGACGACGCCCAACCAACTGAGCCACACCAGCCCAAGCCTCAGCCTTATTTTAAAGATTGGAGATAAAATCAAGCAGTAAAAGCTCATCCATGGAATCTCTGTGACTCCCAAGTAGCTCTTTTTTTTTTTTTATAACTTAATGCTAGAAATATATGTATATTGTAATCCAAAATAAACTAACCCATATTATCTAAAACTGGGCATAATAAGTCCTTTTATATGCTTATACACAGAAAGAATAGGTGACTTTATAAAAATGACATGGAAAATGATGAAATGTTGCTTAGTTTTATAATCTTTGACAAGAAGTCAAAATACCATTTTTTTGAAAATCCAGGTAGAGGGCTCAATTTTACTATCAGCCGGATAAAGCATCTTTCATACAACTGAATACCTGCCCATGAATTCTAAATCAGTGTTTACATGGCTTTGAGGACCTCTAGCACACCATTGGAACAAGGTAAGAATCTCCTTAGACAAGCTCTAGGGGGGATTAACAAAGCCCAAGCCACACACATCCCACCTGCATCACACTGTGTATGACAGCTTCCCTCTAACTCAGCAGTTCTCAAACTTAACTTGTACCAGTCACCTGGCGGTGAATCACACAAACACAGCCGGAGGACCCCACTTGTAGAGTTTCTGATTTCATAGGTCTATGGTGTGGCTTGAGAATTTGCATTTGTAGCACATTCCCAGGTGATGCTGATACCAGGGACCACCATGAGAACCATTACTCTGGTTTGTATTTTGTAAAAGTATTTTTTTTTTACATAGAGTACTTCTATATTTAGGCTTCTATGCCTTGGAAGTATTGTATATATTGAACAGCCAGTCATTTAGACCACTTGTTAAGAAAAATTTGGCTACTGAAATCCACACAGGCCATGTCTGAAGTCCACTGGGAGTCGGGGTGGGGCTATTCTCTCTTGCAGGGTCTGGTTCACTCATGGCCTTCCTGCTGTTCTTTTCATCTTCACCGCAAAGATTAATTTTGTTTTATTTACCCACTTATGAGTTGGCTTTTCAGCATGTTTAGAAAGTACCCTTCTGTTTACAGGGAAGCTGAGAGCCAAGAAACCATGCGGAGGCCTGTTCTAAAACCACGTGTAGAGGACGCTGGTGTTGGATGGGGCGGGGGTGGAGGTGTCTCTCAAGTCAGCTTTGCTTGGGTTCAGATTCCAACTTGGATACTTCCCAGCCGTCAAAGCATTATGAAGGGAGAGAGAAAAATAGACACAATTTACATACTTTCTACTTTTGCACTGTGGGAATGAGAATCCCAGAAATGGTAGAGTTGGTGGTAGGAATAACAGATTTATTCACTTGTCCAGGAGCAATTGGTTTGTGAGGCTCAGCGGAAGAACCCAACCAAGAACCACAGCTTTTCTGTAGTAACTATAAGAGCAAGGAGGGTGGGCAAGAATGAATTCGAGATATTATTTATAATAATAACTAGTCTATTATTTGCTTACTAATCACCATTTTACAGAGAGAAAGGGAGAGAGTCTAACATTCTATATTGTTATCAAGCTTTGTTTTGTACCTTTAGATGAAAATCAGTTACCCATCAATCAGAAGCCTCAAAGTAACTACTACATTAAAAAATACGCTCTAGCCTTACACTCTAATTGAAAAATTCTCACTGCTATCATATTTATGAACAACATGTATCCAAGAAGCTTAGTCCACCTTTCTCCAAATGCTTCTGTCTGCCCGACATCAAAGCTGAAAGACCAGTCAACACACCAGAAATATTTCCAAAGAAACACAGAACCATTTGATTAATAAATGTGGAGAAAAAAGCATAAAGCTAAAAATACATTTCAAAAGATTTGCTCTCAAATGGAAATTAATCATCGAACCCTGGAAAAATATGGAGCCCTGTTTTCACTTCTTAGATTACTTTGCCCCTTTTCTTGAGTTTACTCTTTAGGAAAACTATATATGTAAAACACTATTTGTCAATTAGAAGACTATAAGCAGGAAAATGAGTGATCAAATTCTTACATAACTTTTGGTCAAACTTTAGAAAATTGGGTCATGAAATGAAAGAAAGTAAAACCTACATCATCTGTTTGCTTAATAGCATGCTTCAGCACTCTTCTAATAGCACCCAGGGTTTCTTTCAGAATTAAGCAATTTTATAAAAAGGACTGTTCTTACCCTCATCCTTCCATTCCTTATTGCTGGCCCATCTTCTGCCAATCTCAACACGTACAAATCCATTTTGTATTCCCTTCCTCCACGAATGCTGAACCCAAATCCTTTGGCTCCTTTCTCCATGTCCACGGTGAAATAATCAAAATCCTTTGGGGCCAGGAGAAAAATGGAATAAACAATCGTTTAATATCAAAGAAGCTTCTATATTCAGTCTCTCTATTTTTTCTCTCTCCTATAATGTGTTCCAAATGAGTTGGTGTTGTGAGACGCAATCTGACTTCACAGTCCAGCAAAATGCAAGACAAAGTTCCAAAGGTTTGAGCAGATCAGAACACAATTTCCTTGGTCATTGTGTAGCTTGTTTACATTGATGTTCATCAGCTTACTTGGTTCACATGTAATTACTGCATATAGGCCTGGGCAATATTCTCTCTTTGAGTGTTCTCATTCAGTGCTGTGGAGCTGTATAAATAAATGCACCAGTCCTGTGTATGTGCATACATGTATGTGTGTAAGTTAGAGGTTTGCTAATTAGAAAAATAAATTTTAATGGGGTCTTACTACAACTCTGTGCACAAACTACTGAATATCAAGTTGCAGTGCAGACAATCAATTTGTCTTTTACATAAAATGCAGTATGTCCAAGATTTCCTGACCTTCAATGTTCTTAAAATTTGGGGGAGTTAAAGGTGATCTTTAATCCTAAATAAAACACAACTAATTGAAATTGTATTTAATCTGTATCTTGCTATCTATTAGCTACCAAGCTCTGGTCTAAGTGCTTTTCATTAAAGTAGAATCCTCACCATAGCCTGCAAAGAAGACCCTCCTTTTAGGGAACTGAAGCTCAGAGGGGCTATGGAAGTCGCCATAAGGCACATCTAACATGAACAAATAATTATAAGAACCAGTGTTGTGTAGACAGGGACTGGGTGCTTGTGACAGGTTGCAGGCTGATTGATGAAGCCAGGCGTGGCCTTATGCTTATGCATAGGGGCTTGGCCCTGTACCAACAAATGGGAGGTAGGGGGCTATGTAAATAATTATGGATGCAAAATACCTCCATTGCTGACATCTGTAAAATTTTCTGCATCATCTGTATTGGAGATTCCAGATAAGAGCTTTTTTTTTTTTTTTTTTCAAATTTGACAAGACAATATATTGGGAATTAGCTAGCTAATATTAGCAGGAATTAGTTCATCCCGTTACCACTCACCCACTGATTGATTGATTGTCCTGCTTTATTCTGAAAAAGATTTATTTATTCAGAGCGCTTTGAGGATGTGGGTGTTACCCAGATGATATCATAACTAGGAATAGAACTTGGGCTGTCTATCTCAGAAGGGTGTTCTTTCCTCTGCCTCCCTTCTATTTCATTGTTTGTACTTCAGGAAGTCTTGGTCCTGGGCCTGCGATGATCTCATTGGCCGAGGTACCTGGGGCTGCCTGTAGTCTGACAGAGGGTACTGCCTGGTGTCGGGGGAGTGCTGTCTGTAGTCCAGCAGCGGAGGTTGCCTGTAGTCCAAGGGTGGGGGTTGCTGGTAGTCCCCCCCTGGCGGCTGCCTGTAGTCCAGGGGGGGCTGCCTGTAGTCCGTGAATGGAGGCTGTCGGATGTCCGGTTTCACATCTTGTCTTGCTTTTACTTCTGACCTGTAACTAAATAAATGGACATGGGATTTACTTTGGTATCTCAGTACTCTAAGGAGGTAGAATGATCAACTGACTCCTCTTGGTGATCCTTTTGCATGTTCAGAATTATGAGAAGATTAAACAGTAAGTATTATTTTTCAATCTTTAACAAATACCATCTTGTATACTTTCCATTTGGCTTCTTAAGATATCAAGGTGAAAATGATGGTTCAACCACAGCTTTGTGGAAAAGGACTTATGGATATCCCTTTTTGATTTGGCTATGCAAAAACTACAACTGCACAAATCGAGGGGACTGAATACTTAACTATGCATCCTGAAATAGCAGTCTGTCTTAACACCAGTAAACCAACTCTCTCTGTTTCTCTGTCTCTCTCTCACACATACACACCTTGGCAGACCATTACTTCATGAAAACACAATTTACATGATCTCTAAATACTCCACAAGGACATAATTCATGGCTATTTTACCCGGTTAGGTTTGTTCTTTTTCAATATATTGCAGCGGAGTGATTGTAAGGTATCCTCACCAACTACAAATCAAGTAGAAAGTCACGAGGTCATTGGTAAGAATAGAAACATGTCGTGTAGAGTTTGGATACTAGACCTCAGCCATCAGATAAGTATCAGATATCATCATGGTCATAAAGTGGAAGGAAAGGCAAAAACGTTTATGCTTAACCTTTGTCTCTTTCTTGTTTCTAGAGATTAGTTACTAATAAAATACAGAAACCAGAACTAGTTGCTTAGCACTGTTCTGTGAATCCAAACTGCTCTAAACTGAGAGGATTTCCAGTTCCAAAAGGGGACTAAAATAGCTTATACCAACCATTATGAGGTCATGAATAAGGTAAACTGAAACATTATCACCATAGTACAGAGGAATACTTAATACTGTAGTTCATTACCTATTGCCACAGAAAGTCTATAATAAGCTACTTAGGGAGAGTCATGAATAAGGTAAACTGAAAAATTATCACCCTAGTATAGAGCAGCCGTGGGCAAACTACGGCCCGCGGGCCGGATCCGGCCCATTTGAAATGAATAAAACTAAAAAAAAAAAAAAAGACCGTACCCTTTTATGTAATGATGTTTACTTTGAATTTATATTAGTTCACACAAACACTCCATCCATGCTTTTGTTCCGGCCCTCCGGTCCAGTTTAAGAACCCATTGTGGCCCTCGAGTCAAAAAGTTTGCCCACCCCTGGTATAGAGGAATACTTAATACTGTAGTTCATTACTATTGCCACAGAAAGTCTATAATAAGCTACTTAGGGATATAGGTAGATTGAAAAAATACATAAACCAGTCAGAGAAAGACAAATACCATATGATCTCAATTATATGTGGAAAAATACATTCTGTATAATAACAATTTTATATAAAATTAAGATAGAGGGTTTGAGGAATTGGGTAAATACTTAGCACCAAGGAAAAACTCATATGTGTCAGGAAAACAAGTTCAAAACCAGTCCAACTTTTACCTTTAATACTATGGCATATGTTTTTTTGTTTGTTTTACTGGATTATGGTTTCATTGATGCTGATTATACGAAATATTTTAAAAAATCACTCACAGGAACCATGTAATCTAGTATTTGGTGAGAACATACTGGAAGTATACAAAAATAGATGTACTTATTTGGGGCTTTTGGAAGGGGGTTAGTAATATAGTTAATTTATTTTCATTTATTTTCTTTTATATTGAATTCATTGGGGTGACATTGGTTAATAAAATTGTATAGGTTTCAGCTGTACAATTCTAGAAAACATCATCTATATATTATATTGTGTGTTCACCACCCCAAGTCAAGTCTCTTTCCATCACCATTTATACCCTCTTCACCCTCTTCTACCTACTCCCTTCCTTTCCCTTTGATAATCACTGTTGTCTGTGTCTATGAGGTTTTTTTTTTCTTAATCTCTTCATCTTTTCCACCCAGCCCCCAATCCCCAGTCTATAATAAGCTACTTAGGGATATAGGTAGATATCCCTAAGTAGCTGTCAGCTCTGACAGCTGTCAGTCTGTTCTCTATGAGTCTGTTTCTATTTTGTTTATTAGTTTATTTTGTTCATTAGATTCCACATATGAGTGAAATCATATGGTACTTGGCTTTCTCTGACTGGCTTGTTTCACTTAGCATGATGCTCTCCAGGTCCATCCATGCTGTAGCAAAGCATAAGATCTCCTTCTCCCTTCTCCTTCTTCTTCTCCTTCTTCTTCTCCTTCTCTTCCCCTTCCCCTTCCTCTTCCCCTTCCCTTTCCCCTTCCCCTTCCCCTTCCGCTTCCCCTTCTCCTTCTTCTATGGCTGAGTAGTACCCATTGTGTAAATGTACCACAGCTTTTATATCTACTCATCTACTGATGGGCACTTAGACTACTTCTAAATATTGGCTATTGTAAGTAACACTGCAAAGAACATTTGAGATTTTTCGGAAGTAATGTAGTTATTGTAATCCACGCTTTGAGTAGGTCCCACTTGGCACTTACCCTGCAGAAATGACATTTCTTTATTGAGTTGCACAATTTAGGCTTTGCTTTGTACCTCAGCAAGTTGTCCACTCACCTGAGTGTGCATGATGAGAAGATAATTATTTAAAATACTATTTGAATAAGATACTCATCTATGCAAATGTATGAATTACACACAAAAAAGATCTGAGTGACAGCTGTTGGTGTGTATCAGTGCCTTTCTAGAAGCAGTTTGCTTGGTGGTTTAGATGTCACACTGTTTTAAGTAATAGCACAGTCACTTATTTTCATTGTCTATGTAGCATCCTTATGAAATATCCATTATGAGTTCTATTTCCAGATGTGTCACAAGATATACTAGTAGCAAAAGAGGTGAACTGTAAGTCTCCCCAAATATGACAGAAACACTTAGAAGTAAAAACAGTTAAAATTTGTAATAGCTGTGACCCAAGCCTACACTCTAGCACTCAAACTTCCTTCCATGGTACACCAGTGCCCTATGTCAGGATGTTAGTTAAGCTGCACATTGAAGAATTCTTTCATTAAAAAATACTACACTAAATTTTTTATCAGTGTTGCTAACTTTTAAGTGAATGATATACTGGCTAGGGCAAAATTTATGTTGCTTTGAATTTATAAAACACTTATTATTTTAAGAAAAATTCAGGATTATTGTTTAAAAATAGCATCTTCAAAATTACTTATGAAAGAATGTCATTAGTTTAACTCTACATAGCTATTAATTCCATTACTAAAGAGACCAGAGATGATAAAACCAGATTGCTAGTGGTAAATTCTAGCAGAATTTTATGGTATGAACAAGGTTCAGAACAAAAAATCACTGTCCACATGGTAGGGGATCTTACGGTGGGATATGACCCCCATGTGGGCCTTTCAAGATTTTCTTCCAGCAAAGGTTCAAAGTCTATGAAAGAAGTCAATTTCCAATGCTCTTCCACTGACCTCGCTATTTAAAATGCCATCAAACATCAATTGCCCTAGCTGGGGAAACTCAACTCTGCTGTTTATACTTAGTTTTGGAATATATTTCATAAAGGCTCTTTTGTTGTTTTTAACAAATGCTTCTCCTTGAACAGTGTTTTGCTTATGTTTATATAACAACTAGTGAACATAACAACACATTGAAAGGAAATTAATTAGAAGGTGGCTGGCGGGGTGGGACTGGGCAAGACTGGCTGGACACGACCTGGAGCTAACCTTCCGCGGTTCCTGCCTGGTTGGCTGCACCTGGGGTGGCAGCGCGGTGGAGTAAGTGGGGGTCCCTCCGGCAGGTGGGGTCCCTCAGCCTGGTCTGCAGGGATCGGGCCGAAACCAGCTCTCTGACATCCCCCTAGGGGTCCCGGAGTGCGAGAGGGCACTCTGCAAAGTTGCTGTCATACAGGGTGTGGAATGCAAATGCAAGTGTGCAGTAAACCAGATTTGGGGCCAACAGTGGCCCAGCAACAACATAACCCATGGCTGAAGGTGGAATTGCGTGGCCCCGTGAGAAATCGGGTTCCCTCCTCTCTGGTTTCGGGGTGCATCACCTGAGAATTGCAGCTGCCAAGTCACGGCAGCTTGGCAGCACCTGCATTGAGAGTCTGCCCCCGGTGGTCAGTGCACGTCATAGTGATCAGTCAGATGGGCAGAGGGACACTTAGCATATTAGCCTTTTATATATATATATAATTTTGTGTTTCCTGAGCAAAACCAAAAAGGATGTGAAGGGACAGAGAAATGGGTAGAGGTGTGTAGGGTGTCAGTTGGGAGCCAAGAGTAAATAAGATAGGACAAAATAATCAGTTACTCTAACTCATAAAATAAAACTTTGCAAGTAGATTGTCATTTAACATGGGAACTGGCTCAATTTGACATGTGGGTGGGCACTTCTTGTACAAATGAACTGATAGGAAATTCATACTGTGCACTTGGCATTCAAGCTGTCTTGCAGACGTCTCCAGCCTAGAAAAAGGCAGTTTTTCCCCTGATACCACAATCATCTTTAAATGCAGCTAGAAAAATGGTTCTGGTATCTGTAAGACTGTTGAATCTCCTCATTCATATGCAAATTAGCTGCTCACTAACAATCAGAGCTAAGCCAGGAATCCTGAGTGACAGGAGTGGGCACTTTCCAAGGTTTTAATATTATTGAAGCAGAAACAGCTAAGAACTCTGGGCAAATTTTTCAGTGATTTATAAAAATTTGGGTCAGATCAATCTATTAATCCTAGAATTAGAAAATATACTATTCTGTAGTCAGGCAAAAATATATCCAAAAACCATTGTGAGCTGGTAGCAGATGGGGACCGAATAGTGGCCTCCCACTGAGCTATCACATGCCTGGAGTTATTCTGTAGTCAGGCAAAAATATATCCAAAAAACATTGTGAGCTGGTAGCAGATGAAAACCATTGTGAGCTGGTAGCAGATGGGGACGGAATAGTGGCCTCCCACTGAGCTATCACATGCCTGGAGGATTTACCCACCCCAAGGCTGGAAGCAAGAGCCCATCTCCAGCCCAGTCTGACTCTGCAGAAGTGAAGATGGAATGGTGGCTGGGAGGTAAGTCCACAGCGTCAGAAACGAGAGTCTGAGTCTGGCTCAGCAACTGCGGGAGCACTCAGATCCCTCCTCCCGAGTCTGAAATGAGTCCGGGGGAGAGCCAGTGCAATCCATCCAAACAACATCTGGTGAAAGTGAACACATCTGGGGCTTATTACTGAGGCGCCCAGGACTTACTCCTCTTCTGGATTGTCAGATTCTTACCTCGGTGCGAACTGCCTTATGGGGCTTAGTCTTTTTACTTCCGTGGAATATATTAACACCATAAACAGTTGAGGACAACATTTACTTTTCTATGAAAGCAAACGGGGGAAATCAGGATAGAACAGGGCTTTATGGAAATAACACCTGTGGCAGAGGGAAAATATTTGCTTTGCAACAGTACGAGTGATGAACCTAGAGTTCTGGGACTCAAAAACTGGGGCTCAGTTCATCTCCACCAACATGGGAGGCAGAAGATGGGAAGCGGATGCTCAGAAAACATTAGAATGACGGAAAAGACCCGTGAGGGTTTTATTTTCAGAGATGTTCCTGCGAGCTCTTCTATTTTTCTCATTCGAAAGGGGAAAACATTGGGAACATGTCTTCATCTCTCTTCAACGGCGCAACCTAATCCAGGGTACACCCAAGTCATAGTAAGAAGATAATGTGGGGCTGGGTGAAAAAGGTAAAGGGATTGAGAAAAAAACTCAAAACTCATTGATGCAAACAGCATGGTGATTACCAGAGGGAAATGAAGGAGGGGGAGGTAAAGGGGAGATAAATGGTGATAGGAGACTTGCCTTGAGATGTTGAACATACAATACAATATACAGATGATCTATTATAGAATTGTACACCTGAAATCTATAATTTTATTAACCAATGTCATCCCAATAAAATCAATTAAAAAAAGATAACATGGGTTTTATATGGCATCCTTTTTTTCTGGAAGTTCGAAGTGCCTTATTTGTCTTCATTAATAATGTGAAATGGATGAAATTAATTAGATCCTGAGTAGGAGGATATAAGGTCAAATGCGGTAAAAATGCTAATATTTATTATGCTTACAAATCCTTCAACATGTCCCCTTCTCCACCATCTTTACGCTCTGGGCCACCACCTTTATGGACACTGGCAGCCATCTCTGACTGCTTAACCTGCATTCACTCTGACCAGCCTTCAGTCTGTTCTCTCTGGGGTCTACTGAGAGATCTTGAAAAGCAAACCAAATTATTTCAGTCCTCAGCTTAAACTCCCTAAGAACATCTCAATATACTTAAGATAAAAATCTTTAGCATGCCTACAAGACCCTGTAGGGCCAGCCCCTCCCACCCTCACTGCCTTCATCTCAAACCACCCTCCTCCCCTCTGCCTCCCTACATTGGCCTCATTGCCCCCTAAGCCTGACAGCCCCCTCCTGCCAAAGGGCCTCTGTACATGCCCTTCATGCTGCCTGGGATCTCCAATGTGCTCTTCAGGGAGTTAATCTCCACTCATCTGCAAGCGCTCATCATTTCTTCAGGAAAAGTTCTCTTGCTGGGAAGGACAGGGCACTTGTATTTACTAATAAGACCCATTTATGATGTACATACAATCTCCAAATCACAGGAAAGTCCACATGGCAAGTTCTATTTCAATACAATCTCTCTCCTGCCTGTGTCCTGTCTTGTCCCCATTTCTTCCCCCCCACTCCCCCGCCACCTCTCAGAAGCAGAAAAACCAGAGGAAACGTTACCTATTTTCATGTCCCTGTAGTTGCAGTGGCTGAGGAGGAGCTGGCTGGGTGACAGGGCTGTTGGGGGTGGCTGGGCTCGGCTGGGCCAGCGGACTCTGCTGGGCCAGGGGGCTGTGCTGCTGGGCCATGGGGCTCTGCTTCTCGGAGCTGGGCGCCGAGGCGGGGCTGTTGAGCTCTGAAATGGGACCAAAGCCGCAGATGCGGTCAGGTTGACATGGATAAAGGGCAAGAGGTGACCGGAGGTGGATACTCTTTGCTTCCTCAGATGACTCAAGGCTTCGGTTATTTCAGTTTCTGTTGGGCTTTAAGACAGCAGTTTGCCCTTATCCAGTTCCAAAACCACTCCCAGAATTAGTATGCTTTTAATTGTAAGAGTTGCTGAACAAGGTTATGAACAGAGTCTCCTGTCATTTTGTCAGAAGAAAATATTACAATTTAAAAACCTGTTAAAACTATGAAAAAGAATTCAAAGGAGTAAGCTTTAAAATATGTACTATTTTTCTACTCAGAAAGAAAACATTTAGCCAATATTTTTTTGGTTGTAATGAGAAGTCTTACCAGTATACCAAAGTCTGGATAAGGAACTAACCATAATAAATGTAAGTGCTTTCTATAGTCTTCGTTCCAGTTCCTTGTTAGTCTTATTGCTTAATAACCCTCTATATTCCATGGTTCCACAGAAAGAGTAAAAACACCCCAAAAACTAAAACAAACTACCACTGGACAAAGGAGGGGAAATTAAGTTGTTAAAACTGTTTCTTGAACTTTCTTGTAATAGCATCACATTTTCAACTGAAATTATCCCTCTATGTTAGAATAAGAGCAGGACAGACATATTCCAGACTGGGAAAATGGAGAAGTCAGATTTTAGCGAGAAATCTTGCTTAGAGTTAATTCCCATTGACTATTTTATACATGTTGGTGTCTGCACCATTGAGTGATAAAAGGGAGGTGACCTATTAGCATTTCCTTACAAACCAGTCTCCCCCTTTCTTTTCTCACAGCCCCGAATTTTAAATTTCTTCCCCCCTTGTATCAGTTTCCAAACCTTGGCACTATTGACATTTTGGGCCAGATAATTCTTCGCTGTGAGGCCTGCTCTAGGCTAACAGCATCCCTGCCCTCTATCCACTGGACGCCAGTAGCATCCCTACCTCAATCATGACAATCAAAAATGTCTTCAGATATTGCTAAAAGCTCCCTAGGGGGACAAAATCACCTCAGTTGAGAACATCTGTTTAGTATTTAAAGCCAGGAAGCTGTTTGATGCCTGCTTGTCATAGTCCCAAGATGAAATCAGGTGAATGAATAAAACAGAGGGGACCGAGGTGAGTGAGTCCATCACTATGCCTCACTCTCCACGTGGGATGCTCACTCACCAGTGAGCTCCCTCCAGGGACTGAACTCTTGAACATCAGTAATGAGACAGCAGCTATAAACCAGTCATGAGCACACTATCTCCAGAAATAGTGAATTTATGGTGACCCTGAAGGCATGGCTGTGAGTCGGGGTGCTCACTACTCTTCAAGCCTCAGGAGGGAGTCCTTGTACAGAGACCTTTAAAAGGCTAAGTGGGAATTTAGAATTCTTATCAGATGAAAATTTTCTAAATGAGCCCTCTCTATACCACAAAACTTCCTCAAGCTTTTCAAAATCAATCTGACTTTGAAGAATCCTCCAGAGTGTCACTGTTAACATGAATGCATGTTGTTTTTATCTTCTGCAGATTTGTAACTCTATCACCTCTGTTGAATGGGCTCTGGCTTAATGTAACCATAAAACAGTACTCCGAGGACAACAGGGAATGGTTGAATATTCCACTGTCATGGGATTCACACTGTTTATCCATATTGTCCCATAGCTTGATCTCTGAATGAAACTGGTACTGAGCAAACAGGATATGAGTTGCAACAGAATGTGAATTTTTGCCACGGTGGGAGTAACTCTCAGCTTCCGACCCTCTGACACCGCTCTGATGGCAGTCAGGTGGCTCGGGCACTCACCCTCCTGAGGAATGATGCGAAGGGTGACACTGAGACCCGCGTCCTTGATCAGCTTCACGATGTCTGCGTGAGGCATGTTGATGATCGACTGGCCGTTCACCGCTAAGATCCGGTCTCCCACTTTGAGCTTTGCACAGCGATCTGCAGGACTCCCATCAATGATGCGTCCGATTTTATGGGGCACAGCTAAAGAAATTCCCAGCAGAAACAGGTATCAGGGGCAGTACCAATGCATGCTCTAGTTTTGAGTCCCAGCCCCACAGGGAACAATGTAGTATCAGATTTCCTTCTTGTGTCAGTATATTTGCCTTTTGAATCATAATCATGCCTGTCAAATGTGGTCCTGTGCCTACTCCTGAGATCAGAGTTTTTAAATTCAAGTGCTTTGCAGTGACAGGTCAATTCCCAACACAAGGACCAGGGCTTCTCAAACTTCGGGGTGTATCATACCACCCCAGGATTAAAAACATAGCTCTTTGGGCCTTAATATGGACTTTGTGAATCGGAACGTCCAGGCAGGAGGTAAAGATCATGAATTTTTAAATATTTCCTGCGGAGATTCCAATAGATACAGAGCTTTGAGAATCATAGGCATAAAACACGGTGCCTGTGGAGTGCACACTCTAGAGTCAACGATACACAATTTCAGGAAGATACAATAAGTGCCAGGAATTTAATTTTTATCCTTTTCTATTTTGCAGAGAGGAGAAAACAGGAAAGGCTGTGCTTCTACTGTGAAAGGTTACAGATAGCATATGATAAATATATATATTTAAATATGGGCTGTGACAGGCTGGTGAAGAAGTTATGACCAACACCCCATTCATCTACTAATCTTTAGTTTAAAGGTTGATGCAGTTTTGAAATCTTACCTCTCTCGTCTTTCTGATTTAACTTACTAAGTGGGGCTGGGATCTTGCTAACATCTGATACACAATGTATTTCATCAAATCTAAGATGCCATCGATGGTACGACACACCTTTACTTTTTATGCAAGAAAGAAAAAAGAGCCAACTCTGCCAACTAAACAATGAACATGCCATTGACTCTAAGATGCTCTCTAATTTTTAAGATACTAACCTATTAAAATGGGTGACTTTTATTCATGTAAATGTTAGGGTAGATAGCTGGGGTCAGATATCAATGGTATACAACGTGCCTATAACCTCCCTCAAGGAGCTTACAGTCTAGAAACCTGTTCCCTCTCCTTTCTTCTTTCAAGACAGGGAGCCCCAGCCAGGATATCACTGTCAAGAACTCTGTTGTGTTGCTCTCCCCATGGAAGTCAGGTATTGACTTAATCTGCATAAAAAGGTAAAGAGACACCACCCCATTCATTATGCTCCGGGGCGTCTAGTCCTTGAATTCTCAATCTTGTGTATGTGTTACAGTGAAAGGCAGAACATCAACTAATAACCACGGTAAGGAAGGACAATCAGTGAGTTAATGAACCAGCACCTTGGCCGTATTTCTATTGTGAAAGGTTACATACAGATAGCACACGGCAACACCGGCTGAACCTGCGTCTCTGAAGTGAAGCTCAGTATGTTGGAAGCTCAACCCCATTTTTATTTACCACAAGCACCAGGGGTTTTAGTTCAGAACACCTTACTTAAAGCATATTCATGATCATCTTAGAATCTATTTAATCCTAGGAGAAATGTAATAAGAACGCATTCATTTACTTATTTTTTTTCAATGACATAGGTATTGCAAGTTGTTTCATCTTCAACCATAATTAGAATGAACTTTCATTCCTGTTTCTGCCCCCTTTCATATTTAATCGGTATTTAATCGTGTCAATAAATGATCTGTTTTCCCCGACCGTAATGTGCATGTTGTTATGTGTCCAGTGACCTTTGCAAAGTTTCCTGACTTCCCCGAGTTTCTGTTTTTCAACGCGAAAATTGCAATGATATTATCGACCTCACAGGTTGATTCTGAGAATTAAATAAATGATCATATGTAAAGTGACTAGAACAGTGCCCGGCACATAAGACTTGACTTATCAGTATTAAGTTTTCTTTCCTTCTTTTTATAGCTATTATCTGTTTTATGTTTCTGATATCACTACTGAAGTGTCTTGTGCTTGTGTGTAGGCACCAGCTTGAGCTCCTTCTACACGGGATAAACCTGTGATACTGCTAAAACCAAAGCAACACGTGCTTAATACAGAGCAATAGCCCCTAAGTATCAACCAGGAAAACTGCTTCATATGGGAAATAGAGATATGTTTTGGGGATTATATAGACACTAGATGAGGCCAAGACTCCTGTTTGTTTTCCTCTGGTTTCACAAAAAGAAAAAAAAAGTTGCAGGTTTCTGTAGGAAATGCCAACTTGTTAGTTAACGTTTGTTACTCAAAGAGAAGTCAGCATAATACAGATCTCTTCATTATGCACATTGAGCCCTATTTCCACACACACACCCACACCCACACACACACACACCAGAGAGAATGCATGTTAATCCTTAAAAAATCATGTGTCATACCTGATAGCATTATCATTTGCAAGTTTATAGTGGAAACAAAACAGAGGCATAAAGTGGCTAGCAATGTGCCCATGATCATATAGGCCAACAGGACTAGGACTCCCGGGCCGCCAGATTCCATCGCCTTTGCTGTTAACAGAAGTACCGCACTGCCTTTCTTGACAGTCTTCTCCCTCCACTAGAGCACGTGCTTCATGAGCAGCTGGTGCTTTTACTTGGTGACTGCATCTTGCCTCTGAACAGAGAATCATAGACACTTCACCAGTGGCCTTGATCCAGGGGGAGTGGGAGGCAGGAACTTGGCTTGATGCGGGTCTTTGTGGCAGCTGTCTTCTAACAGGCAGGTGTGAGGAGGTGAAGAGGGGAGAGTAGGGGAGAGAAGGGGAGGGGTGGGGAGACGAGAGGAAGGGCCAGGAAAACTGGGCAGCTCCTCAGAGCCCTTTTAGTTAGGACTTTACACCACTGTGTCATTCCTTTATTTGAAGTCATTTCTTTGGGCAGTAGAAACCCTCACATTTGAAATAAAAATACAGTTTAAAGCACATACAAATGGTATTTGGGTGATTTGCTGTTTTGAATTATTCATGCCTCTGCTCCCCTCCATTACTGTAGATCACTTAGAATCTACTGCACATAAAACCCCCAATGTTTCAAAACAAAGCTCTCACACACACAATCACAAAAATCACACAATTTTATGTGCTCAACAACAATAAAAACAAAAATAGGTCATCATTTGTTAATTTCCAGGCATTGTGCTAAGCACTTATTTTAAATCCTTAGAGCAATGTGTGAAGTAGCTATAAAAGACTAATAATCATGCTTATTTTATTGTTAAGAAAACAAATAGGTATCAAAGCCAGGATTCAACCCTTGAAGTTACTCTCTTCTTTTTTGGGTATTGTGGCAGGTTGAAAGCAATTTGAATTATGAGGAGTGAGGAAATTACTTGTGAGCCTTAGCTTAGAAAAGCATGCTGCTTGAGATTTTCAGAGAGTTCATTGTAAACAGACTTATTTGCTTATTTTCTCTTAGTTTCAAGGCCATTTAGATTTTATTAGGGTAGGTAGAATAAACAACCAAATAAAAGAATGATAACGGAAATAAATTCCCTGGTACTCACATAGAATGATTGAGTGCTTACATAAAATCTGAGTGAGTACACAATTTAAAAGTGTATGTCCACAGTTGGAAGTATCCAATATAGTTATTTTAAAAAATATATTTTTATTGATTTCAGAGAGGAAGGGGAAGAGAGAGAGAGAGAGAGAGAGAGAGAGAGAGAGAGAGAGAGAGAGAGAGAGAGAGAGAGAGAGAGAGAGAGAGAGAGAGAGAGAGAGAGAGAATCAGTGATGGGCTGCCTCCTGCACGCCCCCTACTAGGGATCGAGCCCACAACTCAGGCATGTGCCCTTGACTGGGATCGAACGTGGGACCCTTCAGTCCACAGGCTGATGCTCTATCTACTGAGCCAAACCAGCCAGGGCCCTAATATAGCTTTAATAAAATTGTTTTCTATTGGCATTTACTTGAATAAAGACCGTACTTGGAATGCTTGGCAGCTGAAGACAGTCTCACTTTTCTTTTACCAGCATTTTCCTTACACATGTTAGTACACTGAATGTTATTGTACAACAAATCATTGACAAGGGGTGTGCTCAGAGAGGATTCTCTCTGAAAACAAGATGCAGTTCCATTTGCTCAGTTATAAGGTCAAGAGAGCTTACGACCTAAGTGCTTTCTGTGCATTGCTAATGGAATTACAGAGCATGGAAGAGGCCCTGACCTTGGTTTCTATTCTTGGGATGAATGGTACCCATTAATTCTCTGAGAATTGATGACTAAGGTAACTGCCCCAGTGCAGTCCATTTAGACAGCATGCCTTCCAGACATCATCTATCAGGTAGCAACATAAATCAAGTCTTTGGATCAGGCTTCTTGACACAGTGTGCTTAGGATACACAGATATTTGGGAAGAGTTGCAATATGTCATACAGCGTTAGACATACTGACATTTTGGAAGGAGACAATGTCTCACTGGTTAGAAATTTCCCTTTAATTGCAAATCACATAAGTTGTGGAAAAAGAAAGCCATATTTTTCATTCTTTATTTCTTTCTGGGTAAAACACTACTGCACATCTATACTGAAGTATGTTTTATATTTTCCTGTAGCTCAATCGACTCTTTTGGTACTGCTCAATATAGCACTTGTTTTAGTAGGACTATCAGAGACACTCAGTTGGACTGGATGCTCTCTAAGTTTGTACTAAAGGCCTGGATTCTTTGGGTCTCTAGCCACACCATTATAAGAAACAATGATCCTCCCCTTTTGCTATTGGGTTCTCTTCTGGGAGCTTAATGTGGTCTATTCAGGCTATTGGTTAACCAAAGAGTTATTGTGGAGTTCTATGTTGGGTCAGTTTCCATAAAGAAGATGGATGGTCACTCAAAGGACTTTTCTTGCCTTTTCATGAATTTTTTAGCTGAAAGTTTTAGCTATACTTGAGGGAAAGAGTAGTTGATGCCCCACTTTTTTTTTCATTTCCTTGTTTTATATATACTTCATGTCAGAGAAGGAAAAACCTGTGACTCATGTTTACATTTAATCATATCCTTGCTAATAGATCTCACACCGTGGAGTTGTATGTGGAGGAAAGCATTAGACAGGGAGAGTGGATTCTGCATCAATCAT